CTCTCTAGACCTCATCAGATATCGCACTAGCCGTCCGCGTAGTACCGCGAGCGTGTTCTTGTCCAGCTCCACGCTACCACCAGCCACTGACTGTACCAAAACCTGCCACCGCGACAGAGAATTCTCCAATAGACGTATATCTTTTTTCTCTATCCTGTAAATAAAAAATACAATTTAATGACATGACAAAGAAGTTAAAGTTGTTGTTTAACTATGGCACAAAAAGGTGATTTTTGTCTGTGTAGCAATTTGATCTATGAACATCCTTAATCAATAAAAATGCTATAGAATTTGTGAGTGTGATGAATACTCAAACAAACAAACAAACTCTACAGTCTTTAAATATATATATAGAATATAGGCAAACATATAAATATATAAGAATCATTGAATAGCAACAATATAAACAGCTTACAAATATTCACATTTACAATATTTGTAAGATTAGTACGATGTGGAGTATACTTAAGTTGTTTTTTCTTTAGAAGTCAAGTTAAAATTTAATAACATGTTTTAAAATAAAACAGTCTGCTAACATGCAATCTAATGTACATTAATATAAGGATAGGGATCTAATTATTGTACATAAAAGATGCAAATGTTACCTATCAGCTAGTTGCATTTCAATATCAACACCATCTTCTTTAAAGTCAGGTAGTTCGGAGTCATTCATAGTTTCCTCAGCATCAGAGAATGTCAAAATTTTATCACTTTGATCTAGAATAAATTATAAAGATAATTAATTCAGTATAGATTACTATTATTTCACTATCAGTTAAGCTGTTGAAATTTAAAAATAATAAATGAACTTCCTGCTGAAGTTTTTCTAGAGACTGTAGCATGAAGTTCTTCAAAAAGGGTGTCATAAGGTTTCTTAAGAATCTGCAATGTATGTGTGACATCCCTGCTGTTTAAGTGTCCATATGTGGTAACTAACCCTTACTATCAGACATGCCAAGTGTTTGTTTGCCATCACAATAATATAAAAGAATTTATAATAATAAAAAAGTAAAAATATTATATAGTACTGTGTTACAGGCCATTTACATACTATTTTTGCTAATATTCATAACATGTTACATTTGCTCAACTGTTATAATTTGTGTAAACTTAATGCAATGTTAATTTAATACTAGCTGTATCTCATGGCTTTGCTACTGTGAATTAGTATATAAAATATTCTATGTGCTAAGTTATTACCTACCTACCTGTATTCCAAATTTGATTCAAATCCATTTAGTAGTTTTTGCATGAAAGTATCAAATATCCATCTATCAATCCATCTTTATAAACTTCCACATTTTTAATATTAATAGTATAATAAGATAATAACGAACAATGCTGAATACTTTAAATAATAATGTAATAGTTTTGATATATTAATGTTTCAATTTATACATAGAATCATTAGTATGACCACAGTGTAAGCAACAATTAGTGATCCAACACCTATCACATGCCAAACAATTACAAATCAATTCAGGAATTATTAGTCTATAAACTATTGGTAATTTTTTTTTTTTTGAATAGCAAAATATAATGTCAATCACTTAACTGCTACTATATGCAGATCTTTATCACTTTGTAATAATTATTATAATTAATCTTACTTTTAGGTAAAGGCTGTACTGTCTGATCGGGCAATAACTGATATTGTTTGAGTAGTTGCCAATGGGCCATGAGTGACTTTGCTGTACGAGAAGGATAGAACACATGTGGGTTTTGTTCAAGCAACTCCTGGAACTTCTCAGGCTCTGGATGTGAAGTCTGTAAAATAAATAAATAAAATCCTTTTACTTTAGGCATACCCCATAGTTTACATTACATTTAATTCATTAGTACAATTTAAAATTAAAATATTGATATTCATGATTTTTATTTAATTATTGTAGTATATCTAACATACTTATTTTACAATTAATAGTTCAGCTTATTTATACCTAGTAATAACTGAAAATTATTTGAACAATCACATCACAGTCATAATTTTTGACTGCCTTCCAGAAATTCTAAGAGAGAGAGAGATCCAAACCTAAAGTACTCCCCATAATTTTGCAGTCATATTTAGAACATTTAAAAATATTAGAAAACAATCTAGAAACTTAACACTGGATGGTGCCAACCTAATAAATCATTATCATCATCATTTTAGCCATTATCTGTCCACTGCTGAACATAAACCTCCCCTACAGACTGTCATAAGGAACAGTTGTTAGCCACCTGCATCCACCGACTCCCTGCAATGATTTTGAATAATTTTCATAATTATTTATACATTTATACACATACACTTGGTAATGTTCCCAATAAATCTTCCTCAGCAGTAGAATACAATGCTTGTTGTTGAACTGCAGCAACCAGATCAGGATGCAAGTTTCGCATTGCCGCAACAGCCACTCTAGATATCTCAGCATTATACAGCAAAGCATACCAGCGGGATTGGAGTTCACCTATAGTGAAACGGCAGGAAAATTTAACCCCACGATGGACTGTCCTCAAATCATTTGTCTGAAATGTGGAAAGACAATAAAGTTTAATTTCACTGCAAACTTAACTGATAACTACAAAGACATAAACAAAAATATTTCATAATAATGAATGTGCACTATTTTAATTGTACTATACTTAAATTTCTTTTCCATAACAAAAATCTAGACATTACACATTTAAATTGGTTGCCATTTAAGTGAGTATAATAAGAAACAAATGTCTATAACAATAAAAACATTATCTTCATATTTCACTCTAGTGTTTAACCATCTACATAAAAAGGGTTTTTTTTATACCACTGAGGTGGAAAGCAAGCATACAGTCCATCTGATGGTAAGTGATTACCGTAGCCTATGAATACCTGCAATAGCATAGGTATTACGCGCGCGTTGCTGATCCTGAAGAAACCTCTTTACCCCCTTTTTGAAAAACTTCATGCTTTAGTCTATACTCTCCATTCCATTTTTTTCACACAATGAATACCAATCACAACATATATTTTTAAACATTATCACCTGTTGAACTCCTAATATAAGAGCCAAGTCGTCTGTAGGCTTCCATCGTCCCAAATCCTTTGTAGATAACTGGCTTAGTTGCCCTTTACGTCTAGATTTCTTTGCCGCGCTACCTCCGGTAGATATTTTACTTGATGTCCGCCGTCGCTCCTGTACAGTCGTTGCCACGTTTGTGGGTGTGTTACTTATAATGGGAAGCTCAGGCAACTGACTCGTATATGACTGAGTACGCATTCTCTTGTCACCTTTACCAATAGAAGCCCCAGGCAATCTATATTCGACTAATTCATCATCAAACCGTCTACGTTTTATAGATCTGGAAGAACTGTAATCATAAAAATTAAAGTTGAATATACATTATTAGAATAGCACATTAAATGAAATACACCAGAAAAAAATAAAACCTGCGTCGTTTGTTATTATCTCTTGAGTTCGCATTTTCATACGATCCTGCAGGGCCAGGATACTCATTGCTATCCGAAGCATTAGATGGAGTTGCAGGGAATTCCATTATTTCAATTTTCTACTTGCAAAACTTTTTCTTTTTAGAAGAATGATCAATTTAACAGTGAAAGATATACAAAATAAAAGATGAAGAAAAAATTAATGGAAAAAACTAAAACAAAACCAGGGTTGCCAGTTGCGAGTCACAAATTAGACAGACTATGACATTTTTTTAACCTAAACATGAATTATTAAAAAAATTACTAAAAAAAATCCACGATATTTGGCGAACAGAAAAATTTTTACCCAAGAATAAAATAAAAATACCTAAGAAAAATTGAGAAAAATAAAATAATCTGGCAATATCTCTAAAACACATTAATAAAATAACATAAATAACCACAGATTAGAGAAACTTGACAAACGAAACGAAGACCATAGATAAAGAATGATAATTTTTTATTTCTTTGTCTAAAATTACTCATAATATTATAAACCGTCTAAATATATAGATTTCCAAAGAATATTATTATATTTACTAATAATAATTAATAATTCTCTAATGTCATTCATGATAATTTATGTTTATACTTTAAATTTATTGTTAAGTCCCTTAAAAGCACTTTTTATTTATTTATAGAACAAAGATAAAGTGGCGTCATAGATTAGGTATATATAATGTACATAATTTATACACTTATTAGCATTTTTATGACGTTATAGATTAAAGATAGTCTTACGGTATTTTCTTCCAATGGTATAATTAGTAATCATACATACCTATGACATCGCAGCTATAAAGCAAGTATTTAAGAACAAGAACTACTGCATATAGAAGAACAATAATATTGGTATATTATTGTTCTCCTAAGTGTTGGATAATATTAAAAAACAAGTTATTGAATATTATCCAACACTTTTAATAAACATCAGAGATAATGGATTCATTCGAGGCATAGATAAATCATCAAATTACTTAAGAGTCGTCAGTTATCTAAAATTGATAAAACTGGAAAATTATTTTAATGAACCAATTTGGAACATTAATACTATAAAACAAATGAATATTCATAATATTGTTGACAATTTCTAATATATCTTTGTTAAAAATATTAAAGTATATCATAAAATAAATTAAATCAAATTTTCAAATTCAATGTACTTGCAACCATAGCTTTCTTGTAAACATTTTTATATTTGAAGTGCTCCGGGCCTAATCCCAACATCAATCAACTGTCATGTGCAAACATATTTTCTCATTTTCTTTTTTTACCATCTATTTGATAAATTTATTCTAATCAGAAATATCTCTATACCAATAGTTACATTTTCATTTCACGAAAAATGGCGTATTTAAGCCATAGACTACTCAATACACCAAAGAATATTTTGTTTAGATGTTATAATAAAATTGTTATTACGGATGATGGTTCTACTATAGTTGCTCTTCATAAGGAATCAGAATTTCCATATGAGCATTCAAAATCGCTACCAGAGGAAGTAAAAGATGAATCTATATTAAAAATGAATGATTTTAATGAAGCAAGAAGAGTCTTCAAAAATATGACTCCAGAAATGTCAAGGAAGCACTTATCCACTCTCACACTGACTACAGAACATAGATGGTTTCCCAGAGCACGCGACAAGAAAGCAAGAAATACAGAAATGAACAGACCTTACTTGTAAATATAAATTATGTAAATCAAAATAGTTGAGTAATAAAGAGTTATATATATTTAAGAAAATAGTTTATTTTAACCTATGATTATTGGTTATAGTCCAGTTTCATTGATATTAAACCAGCTTCAAATATGTTGAAATTAGAATGATATGTAATTCCTGCTTGGCGTCATATACATCAATTGTAAAAATACATACATACATACATATCTGTCACGCCTGTCTCCCATTATTCTTCCGCATTCATCAATCTTTTCATACACGCTCGCCGGTTACGGCTATTTTTAATTTAGCCCTTCTTCAGCATGGCACTTCAGCACTTCTTTTTATTTGGTCGACATACGTCCGTCTAGGGTGGCCCCTACCGACTTTTTCATTCATTCTTGCTCGATAAATCTCTTTTGTAATTCTTCTTTCACCCATCCTCAATTGTAAAAATAATCATTGTAATTGCCACAATTAATTGTAAAGTACTAATATTAAAAGAAAACAACAAAGTTAGGATGTGCATAGTTTATGAAGGGAAAAATTAACACTTTTGTATTGTAATGGATACAATGAAAACAGAAATAATAACCCTAAAATGAAAAGTAAAATCATAATTATATCAAAACAAATAAATCATTAGTATTACCAGAGGGAGACTGTAAAAGTTATTTGCTTGGGTACCTCTGTCCCTTTCGTATTCCTACTGTGAAGCAGTTGAGTTTACTTGGCTATGTTTCAGTTTAATGGATGGGAGATGGCAGTGAATTTACAGGGTACAGAGGTATAACACCTTACTACTGGGGGGGAAAGGGAATATTAGTGATGGAGACTGAGAATCCCATTGCTAGCAATATACCCAACCAGGTTGACCTCCTCCTGACTCCCCCTGGAAACTATCATGGTTAATGCCTGATGAATTCATGATGGGCTAACTGGCCTGTTTTCATTCTCATCTATCACCCTTCACTGGTGCTCCGCCAGCGTATCCTGTTAGCGCAGGCGGGGTTACCGTTCCATTTTCACCCATAAAAAAATCTTAGTACTGGGGGGGGAAGGGATTATTAGAAATGGAGAGGTTAGTCCCCAATGCTATCAATATACCTTATCAGGTTGACATCAACGCAATTCCCCCTGGAAATCATAGTGACTAATCAACGAAAATTTGTTGAATTCGGCACGATGAGTTAACTGACCTGCCTTTTCATCCTCACCAATTATCCGTCACTGGTGCCCCGCCAGTGTATACCAGTAGCGCAGGTGGGGTTACCATTATCATCCATAAAAAAACACCTTAGTACTTAGGAATGGTAACACATGGGAGGGTATCATGGGTGAAACAATACACTCTGATATGTTCATGGTACCGTTCATGTCTATTTGTGACCACTTTCCATCAAACAAACTAATAGCCCAGTTTGTTTGCCACTCTAAGTTACAAAAAAAATCACATCGTATAAAATTCACTGCTAATTTGAGGAACCATTCACTAAAAATAAAAATTTGTTTAACAAAATGGCATTTCACAATCCACCCCTATTAATAAAAAAAAAATTAAAGAAATTAAACATGCTATTCCTATATAAATATATTTATTTATTATTATATAGATTATGTATAATTTACCATTTAAACATCAGAATAATCATATTAAGATGAACAGTAATATTAAAGACTGAAAATATACAATACTTCTTTAACTCATTAATTAATTTATTTATTCATTAGTACAAATATGTGTACATGGCGGACTTAATGCTAAAAGTATTCTCTCCCAGTCAACCATAGGATAGGAAGTGTCAGAATACTCGAATGCGGTACTAGTAATTATTGATATACATACATACTAAAATACATATATAAACGAATAAATATATATATAAATAACAAATATGCTTACACATATATGACATACTATATTATACATGAAATTAAGAATAATAAAAAGTATTTACTGCTCGGATAAAGTAAAAAAGTGAGTGTGAAAGTTTTTTTTGAAAGACGGTTTAGTCGGTAGTCTCTTAATGGCATCAGGAAGCGCGCTTCAGAGTCGTGAAGAACTTAGGAGAAAAGAATTTAAGGCGAATCCAGTACGGTGAGAGGGGATAGATAGAGTATTACTGGAACGAATCTTTTTATTTAATAAAATATAGGTAAAAAATATTAAAAATATTATAATTGTAGTTACTGTTATTAACTTGCGGTTATTCTCTTTATGTTAAAAAACTATAGTGCCATTTTTGCTTTATGTACACATTGTACTTTTTCTTTCTTTTCTTATTTTCATCACCAAGCATCCTCAGCCCATGTTGAGTTTAAAGAGATTTATTTGGGCTCATTTTCAAATTTATAAAAAGATATCATAACTGACTGATCTATCAATGCACAGCCTAAACCACTGGAGTTAATATATTGAAAATTTAAATTTAGGTTCTTTTTAAGACTTAAGCGTCTATTAGGAATTCCAACAAATGCCACAGGAATGAACATGGATTCCACACAGGTGACATCATACATATATACATAAACATATATTTTATAAATATATACCTAAGATAGACACATTATTTATTTGCATGTAATTAAATGAACTACCATTTATTTCCTTCACATGTTGAATTATATTTCAAAATATTTCATCCGACTCATACTAGGTAAAATTAAAAAATCAATGAAAACTGCAATTTAAAATTATAAATAGAGGTGTTATTTTAAATAAGACTTAGGAAGATTACAAATTAAATTTGACATATATCTAGCAAATGTTTCACTAAATATATGAACATGGCATAAGTAACATTTCTAAAATAAGTTTAATAAATATTATAAAACTAATAAAAACAATAAATATTGGATCATATAATGGGGTTCACAGCCTATCACATTATAGATACTCTTCTATAGTTGTTTTTCAGATGTAATAGACTATTAAAGTGAACTGAACTGAAAGTACCTATAATGTATGCGCCGCCATATATAAAAAAAAGACGAATGAAAACTAGGATAGTTTTAAGTAGATTATTGGTAAGTAAGTTCCTATTTGTTACTTCATTTAAAATGTTTCTCGAAAATATATTTTCTGCTTTTAAAATATTAACACACATCAAGATATTACTTTTATTAATATGTTTATTATTTAATGAAAATATAATACGTTTAGGTAAATACTTATTATAGTTCTATTATTTAATAAATAATTTTAGGTTCATCTAATTTTCCTTTCAATATCACAATCTTTGCTTTCTTTGGTGCATATTATTATCTAAGTATTTCACTTACAAACTGAGACTAGTTTTACTAAAACCAGTTACTATTTCACAAAAAAAAAATAAGGTTTATTCTTCATTATTAGCTCTTTAAAATAATGAGCCATCATGTTCCAAAGACGTGGATAAGTAGATTAAAAAATTTTAAAAGTGGATTTGAACTTAACAAGTGAATTTTCTTTTTAGAACCAATCTTTGTTTAGTCTAAATATGCTACGAGTTAGCTAAGAGCTTTCCAGTACATTTTAGTTTTTGGATAATTTTATATTTAAAGTTGTTATTTCTATAGGCAACAATATTCAAAGTTCTAACTCTTGGTCTGTGTTATATAATCATTTAGTTTAAATCCACCTTTACAAATAAAATATAATACATGTTTTATCTCTTGATAGTTCAATCCTTGATTATTGATATCATTCAACAAGTCTATATAATTTTTTTTTAAATAGACCATCAACAGTGACACACATATGCAGCCAAATGTCACATTTTGTTGGCAAACAGCGCGAGGACTTGAACAATGTGTGGTCACGTCGCGTGACACCTGCTCGCTTGCAGGGCAATGACATACTTATGAGTTATGTATTCTTACAGTATTACTACATCTATTGATAAGCCATCACTCAAGTGCCATGATTGCCAGTCTTGAAGAAAAACTTAAAACTACTAAACATATCATCCCTGATATTCAAGGGCATATTATAGCATTATATTCTTTAAATGATACAAGTCATTAAATGACTATAAGGCTAGAGAATTGTACTATAGTTAAAACGATATTGATTACTCACTAGAAGCCATAACATCTTATATAATGGACTTAGTAACTTTTTTAACTATAACACTAAGAATCCAAATTATCTTTACAAAAATAACAAATATTTTAATTTTTCAACAATAAAAAACCAAAATGGCACACGAGAATATTACATTAGCTGCTGTACATGTTTAGAATCACAATTGCTTATTATCGAAACTCGTCTAAAAATTAGCGAGCAAAGATCCATCACACTCATTTTGATAACATACTTAAACAGTTGTAATTGTAACCTGCCATTTTTAGATTACCATAAAATTAATAATTGTTAAATAAATATCTAAAAATATTCATAAAATTTACAATTACAGGTACTATTGGACAAATGCAGGAACAAATTGTCCGCAAGACATGTTTATCAGCAACCTACTTTGTATTTATTTGTCATCGAGCCGTAACATAAGTGAGAGGTAGTAGCGCATTTTTATAGTACTAGCTACCTATTAACGGTGGCTATATTCGCGATCGAGGCTACGTACTCGATGACGTCCATACTTGAAATCGAATGAGAAATTGAAGTAGGGCTGCAATGGGGTGTTGGGTCAGCGGACACGAGAGACGCGAAGTTCCCTATCGAGTTGTTGGAGTTGTCGGAAGAAGCCTTCATTGGGGTGAATATCCCGGCGAGAACGAACCAGCGCCATTGCCTCAGACAGAGACATTCCGCGCTTAATCATTAAGAAGGCTATGGCACATGTAGCAGACCGGGAAACGCCCATAAAGCAGTGGACCAGAACCCGACCTGAAAACCAGACTTGCATTACATAAGGAAAATAAAAAAAATCAAATTGTACAATCTATATTTAATGTAATAATAGTGTATTTACTGACATTATTATAACGCATTGTGGTTGCGACTTGCGATTAATATAAATACGATTTTTTTATATAAAATGGATTAATATAAAAAAATCGTAGGTAATATAATAGATAACGTATACATATTAGCCGTGTCGGTCCCGGCATAGAATGGGCCACCCATTCCTTTCCCGTATGGGTCGTAAGAGGTGACTAAGGGAGGGCGAAGGATGGGCAGCACCATCCCTCTTAAAACATCACTAAAAGCCTACCTGCGGTTGCAAACCCGCCTGCCAAACGTGGTAACTGCTGGCAAAACTCCCCTTCTGGAGAAGGCTTATGTTCAGCAGTGGACAGTTAATGGCTGGTATGATAATAATGAAAAAGTATACATAATAATCGTAAGTAAAGATAAACTGATAATAGATGCTTAATACTTTTTTATAATTCTATTTATGGGACTTTATACAATGAGAAGATCATGTGGTGTCTCACTCATAATTCGTAAGACCGAGTCAGATAAATAAATTTAAAATTCGTTAAAAACTATTTAGCCACTTTTTAAGTAACGAATTAACATGAACCTATACTTTGATCTAGAAAAAAAATGGTTACCAGATTCCTATCACTATCTATCACTATCTATCGATCACTATCTCACAAAGCTCAGACGGTAGGCCAATTTTACTAACTTTTAATAAAATAATTACCTCCATGAGAAATACCCTCATCGATGAAATTGGCGGCAATGTGAAAATACTTTGATATATCAGTGGTTGGTAGATCCATAAGCTGAAAGCCTTTGTAACGAATGCTAGGGCAGTCGCGGTAGTAAAGGTGGTCAGTATCCACTTGCGTGTACCGCTTGCCCTCTGCTGTGTTAAGCACGTAGTTGATGCCCATCCGTCTCAGGAATGACTTGTCTTTTGCGGCAACTCTGGATATGATAAAATAAATACATTCACTATTATGATTCTTAATGGTGTAATGATAAATTTTTGACGTCGGCTAGATTCCGACACTGGACTTTAAAAGAATATAGGATTTTGTTCGTCTGCATGTTTGTTTCGCCCATCATGTAAAAATTACTACATGAAATCAGGTTGGTAAGGGAAAACCATAAATCAGGTGTACGTTTCATAACTTACTAATAATAACGACACATACAGAGTCTCTGGCAAAAAACTAGTATAGTTATAAATTTATAGACAAACTAGCTAGTCAATTTAACAACAAATAATGATATAATAATATTTTTCAATATGGTTCGTCTGTGCACTAAATTTCATTAGAATCTGTTCAGCAGTTTATGTATGAGGAAGTTGTAGTAGTAAGTAGATGTAATAAGATTCAAAATTACATTTGTATAAGATAAAGCGATTGCTATATTGAGATTTATTTATACGTACGCATCTCCAACAAACAGGCCTGGGTAGACCTCGTTAACATCAGGCGTCGGGCTGTAGGAGACTTCAGGAAAGGGTCGCGTACGAAATGACAACGAATTCAGCACCGACGAAGGCGAAGACCCAAAACTCTGCACATTAGAATTAATGGGTAAACAACACATTTGACCCATTTTCATTAATTTTATTGCATGTTAGTGGCCACATCCAAAATAATTAAACTACAAGTTATGCGAAAACAATACACATCACAAATCTGTGACATTAAATAAAGGAAAGCTAAATACAGATATAATGAGACATGACCCTTTATAAAAGTACAAACGATGCTTGTGTATGCGTCAGCAATAAGTGAATCTATCGATAGAATAGAATTAACGGTTTTATCTGTTTTTATGTATTACAACATGATTGTAATAATAATATAATCACAATATAGTGAAGACAAAATTCTAGTGCAGTAATATAAAAATAATCTTAATTCAAATATGTCTGTATTATATAGAAGTAGTTTTTTTTTTGCTGTTAATTCTAATACTGAGTTTAGAATATTGTTTTCTAAAACGAAGGTAAACGAAATCCTGGATTAGACAACAGGATTGATTACGTATCTACTAGATAGTAAAAATATTGACTGCACTTGACAGTTTCGTGTATCTGACATGTCACAAATAGTATCTTAATTTCAATACACCTAACGATTTTTATTAGGAAAAGAGCAATATTTTTATAAATTTAAGAATTTTGATTAGCCTTTGAATACAAGATAATAATATAAAACGACAGAGAGAGAGAGAGAATATGTATCTTTTAATACGAAGCAGGCGGGTAGTTTCTTGACATAATAAGATTCTGGATTTGATTCACGATCGATCTATGTTACGAAAACGTTTTCTTTTTTCTGAATTGCTAATTCATCCAGATGTTTTTATTTAATTTCTTATAGTATTCCATTATTACAAGCTTAGATAATAGTATGGTGTAAAAAATTAAAAGTCATTTTTAAATCGTATAAAACAAAGTCACTGTCCGCATCTTTTTCTTTTCTCCTTCCAAACCACGCAATAGTTTTACTGACATTTTGATATTTTTTATGAAGCCGGATCTGGCTGTTTGTATAAAATATAGTTATCAACCTATTTACTCAGTGTTGTCTCTGTAAAGCATTACAATTCATTTCACGGTAGGTAAACACGGTGCTGCGTAAAATCCTGTATAAAAGATGAGTTAATTCAAATAATAGAACATGAATATGACGTAAAATGACTGAAACGTTTTTGTTTTGAAATATTGCTAGAGAACTATTTAAAATGAGAAAATCTATGATCACACCAAGGACATTATTTACAGTCAATATTAATGTATACCTACTTGTTAGTATAATGTTTATTACTGATATTGATTCTTATATCATAGGTATAATACAAAGTGCACTCAAGTATTATATGATAAAAATAAATAATTATATATAATATATATATATAACTTCAATGGATAATAGTAATCGGTAAATATTAATAGAAAGTCCTTGTCTATTTACCACGAAATTATAAACAAATTTGCGAGTTTTAAAATAAACATAATATAGTACATTAATTTTACTTATAAATTACAAGTTATAATTATGTATTGACCTGGTATCTCTGAATTATCTACCAAATTTAAAATAAAATTTGATAGGGTTGCAATTATTGTTAAAAATTTAAACACTCAAACATTTAAGGATAATTTTTTTGTTAATTTTTATTTGGTAAATAAAATGTTGTTAGTGTCAGTCTTGTGGTAAGTGTCTTCTTAAGTACATTAGTTTACATTGTTCAACTAACAAGTTTTTATTGTAATGAAACCAAATAAAATCCATGATCCATTTGATGAAAACTGGCTGCTACCTATCAATATTTACTATATGTTTCATTTAAAATACTAGAAATCGAAGACTGGTGTGTTACTGAATTACTACAATAACAATAAGAAAATCAAATTGATTTGTGGGCACCATTTTTCAAAATTTATCTCTACAATTAAAATTTCAATTGAAATTTAAGTAAAATCTTTATTCTAAGGATCAAGGAACTAAATTTTTAGTAGATTCAAGTTAAAATAATTATTAAATTTAGTTTATAATGTAATTTAAAATATTAAGAGATAGGTTTAGAGAAACGGCACCTCAGAACTATATTATTCTACAAAAAAGCTACTACAATAGAGACAGAATAAATATAAGAAGTAAAGCCTATCTATTACAATTAGATAATTAAAATTTTCAGCTATTTTATTCTTCTATGTATTTTTAAATTCATCCAAAAAAAAAAAAACATTGTTTGTAGTATGTGTGGTTAATTTTCATTGAAGTTATTATAAAGTTATTATTTCACACATATTATATATCACACAAAGAGCTTTATAATAAATACCATTAATGTCCGTAAGTAGGATCCTACGCGCTGCTCATTAGCTGCGCAGTATGAATGTGATCTCGGAAATAGCGAGTACTGCCAATAACATACATTAATTACAATTACATCACAGAAGCTTACCATGACACACGCTGCAATGACTTGGTCATCAACACCCACATTGGATTAGTCATGTTACAAAATAATATGCACATACTTGTCGTAGCAATATATAGTAAGCATTAAATATTATAGTCAAGAGGTTAAGTAAAAGCTTTATCACACATTAATTATCCAATTGCTTAAATTTTTATGTAATGATAATATGTAATAAAAATTGTTAATAATTTACTTTTAGGTTTAAATTGTAAACTCATAATTTGGTGGAGGTGAAAGCCTATAAATTATGCTTCCCATTATTACAAGTAGAAATATTATTTTTATAAAAAATAAATAGTATAAATAAAAAATAGCCTTCAACATAAAATAACACACAGCACCTAGTGTAAAACTAAGTACAGCTTATACTATTAGTACAAGGCAACTAATAGACACGCATAATTAAATAGTTTTTTTTTTATTATATGTATGTGTTGTATATATAAATGCAAAGAGAATACTCATGAATACAATTTTATAAATTACGTGGGAATCGAACCCACAACCAACAGGTAGTGAAGCCGTGTGTTAAAACATCACACTTCTCTGGTAATCACTAAGTACATAAAAAAATAATTAGAATAAAAAGATGTAAAAAAATAATTGAATAAAAAAACTACAGATACTTTAGTATATCACAAACAGAATACAATGTAAAGTGCATCATCGTATTTAATGTCAATTCTTAATATAATACAATAGATTCCATTTTAACACACGACCTTGTAACTATGAGTAAAAGATGCGAAAATAGACCTGGGCCATGTTCAATTCTATTTTTATATTACGTATTAGATTACTTTCTTCTTTATTGTAAAATAATAGGATCAATTATATTATATAAATGTATTTTGTTTTATAGCTACGAAACACTGTTAAACATAATTAAAAAATAAAAACATGTATGTGCGGCATTATTTAATAAAATATAAGCACTTACTGTATCTCTGTAACTCATTTTCCAAATATTATTTTCTAATTTGAAAAATAATTTATTGAATGTAGATTAGATAAAACCACGAAAATATTACGAGTGAAATAAATTGAGAAATAAACTACTGCGCAGAACAAATAAAATCAAATTATCAAATTCAAATCAAATGGGCATCTTAGTGATGTACAGTTTACCAAATCAAGATTAAGTACGTACCGACTCGAATACCTAATACGTAATAAAATCGAGTTCTCATTACATTGAACTCGATATACGGTATTCAAATATACATTTAATGTACTTTTGGTATGCAAATACTATTTTATATTCGATTTAAACATCAATCGAAAATTAAGATCTTGTTCTTAGATTTTTTAATTATTGTAACCTATGATCAATATAAAATTTAATTTAACTAATTTAATTTTAAATATAATTAAGATTCGTATTACATGTTTAACATATGCATATATTTCTAGCACGAGGTTTTGTATTTTTGTATAAACTAAAAAGTATTTTATTTTCCAACATGGTAACTTCTTAGTTTACATTTTTGTTCTTGAGACATTAATTTCCTTGCACAGTTATTCTTTTTTGAGATAGGAAGGTACATATGTATATAATTTAATTTTTTTATCATTCAAATCAAGTCTATTCGATTAATCGATTAATTACAAATATATTTAAAGAATGATTGTACACCGCAGATTGAAAACTTGACACAAGTACTTACACGAATAACGTCACATTAAAGTCAAAGTCACTTTGACGTATAACATACATACATGAGAATGCCATGGTAGGCTTGTATATCGCTTTTTTGCAATACTGAATTGGTATTGGTTATTTAACTTGAATATCAGATATTGTAACTATATATTCCGATATTTAGCACAAACAGAAAAAAAAACAGTGCTGAAATGGGGACCAAACAATTTTGGAATGGTCCTGTTTCATCCTCACTTATCATCCTTCACTGGTGACCTGCCGGTGTATACCGATAGCGGGGGTGGGGTTACCATTATATTATTACCCATTAAAAAAAACAGGTCGACCTCCACGTGGTCCTCTCTGGAAACCAACGTGCTGAATTCCAAGTATATTTATTACGATGGACTAACTGACCTATCTTTTCATCCTCGTCTATCAACACATACTGGTGCCCCGCCAGTGTATACCGAAAGTACAAGCGGAGTTACCATTTCATTTTCACCCATAAAAAAAAAGTTAAATGGGGAGGCTCATATTCAGCAATGGACGGATAATAGTTGAAATGATGATGGTGTTTAATATATCATTGCGACAATATACAATTTATAACACCAAGCCTATTGTTTATTAAAATGTTCTCAGTGTTAAGAAAAGAGCTGTAAGAGCTTTTCTTACATTATAATGCTTTTATAGTCATCTTGCGTAATTTATGCACGCGTCTTTTGGGGTCGATTCTAATGCTCTAATACGACATTCTGTAAACCTATTTTAGTTTATGTTTAAGTTTATGTTCCATAAAACAATAATTCCACGAAACTATCAAATATTAGGTTAAGAACTATTTATTATATAATTTAGAGATGGCGCTGTTTCATTTTCTTTGGCCTCGACCCTGTGGTGGGCATTAAATGGGTGGGAATACTAAGTCGAATAAATGTAAAATAGAAAAAACTAGACGTCTGCGATTTGACCAACTTTTGCTTAAATATCTTACAAATCATGATACAAAGGGAAGCACGAAAAAATCGAATTTAATTTGTTTACAATTTTTTATAGTTAATACTGTGCGCGTTAATTTCTCTGTTGCTATATTTTGATCTAACAACTTACTTATTTACAATTGGTATATTTTTGATGTACTTAAATTGAAAACGAATTACGAAAACCGGATACTGTGAAGGCAACACAGAGTAAAGTATATGGCAACATTGTATTAGTGTCAAAAGCTGTCAAAGTTGTAATTGGTTGTATTCTAATTTATTTTCTGAAAGATTCTTAACAATTTAGCATATACTTGTGAGAACTATGCAAAAAATAAGTCTTTGAGATTGTGTTAAATTTTTGAAAATACTTTATTTACTATGGATGAGAAGGAAGAGTTACATCTAACCTCTCAAGAACTGCAAGTTCTGTCCGAGCTTGACAGGTTTGTGAAGCTTTATTACTTATAAACTATAAACTAAAACTAATTTGATATGTATCCAAGAAATTAATTAAGAAAAATATACTTTTGAAGGAGATAATACCTTTAGACTAATACCAAGCGCATATTGGTAGTACTTACTAACATTCTAATTTACAAGTAACCTTTTGGTTATTTGTTGCTACTCGTTTTTTAGTATCGGTACTTTTAACCAAAAAACTGAAACTTGTGAATGATACTGATAGTGCTTATCTTTAGAAGTGAGTTCACTTGTAAAGTTATCCCGGATTTTTAGTTAAATATGTTTATCTCTCACTTGACTGGTTTCACCATATCACTGTATCATTTTGTTTAGATTCAACAACTTACAGATTCATTAAACTCATAGGTTTTCACCAATAAAGAAAATGTGTTGTAAAACAAGTTTTAACTATAGGAAAATAATAGTTTTTAAAAGTATATTTGTATATATTAATATATCACATTTATCATTATATACTTTTTGATTTTTGATCTAAAGGTGCTGTATTGTAGAATCAAAATAGTTGATGTGATTGTAAAAAAACTGTTACTTGAAAATATTTACAGTTTGGTACTTTAGTAATTAAGTAAATAAGTTTATTAATCATAAAAGTTTTCATTATTTACTTCAATTTGTATAATTAATATTATAATTATCTCTTTCTTATTTTAGGAATAGAAAAACAATTTTTTGTTAATCTCTGTCAAATTCCTCTTATTTTTGGGTGAGACAGATCCCCTCCTACTTCTATTTAACAACCTCAACATCACTCATGCAAATCATTTTTATTGAGTTTTATGTAATTATTACTATTTCAGTCGACAGTTTGGTTTTTTGAAGCTGAGAGGAACAGAACATGGAAGGACTCGGGCTCTCATTCTCAAGGCTGTTAAATATTTGGAAGGAATGCTTGTACAAATTAAGGTATTTAATCTTATAATTGTATTTTGAAAATGCTATTTATTTAATTTAATTTAGCAGTTTTGTAATTAGATTCTGTATAAAAAAAAAAATAAACTTGTAATACTTATAATGACAAACACACTGATGGCTCACTTGATGGGAAGTAATTGTTCATGCCTGTAGGTGTATGTCTATAGATGTGAACATCCATATAACATTACAAAATATACTGGTATTAATTAAAATTAAAATTTCATTTTGTAATAGTCTTACATAGTATGAAAGGTATTTTTTATATATGGTAAAGGTATATGTTATATTTTATTTTCAGGAGGAAGAAAGAGCTTGCTCACCTGGTGCTAGAAGAGATATATGTATAGATCCTAAGACATACTGCAAATTAGGACATTTCCATCTATTATTAGAGGATTATGCTAAAGGTTCTGATATTTATGTGTTTTACTATTTAGTGTCTTATTTTGGGTAGTTCATGATAATTCTTTGTGGTAGTGTGCAAGGGTGGTATATTCAGTAGTAGACAGTAAGTGGCTAAAATGATAATTTGTCATAGTTGAAAAGCTATAATATACAAGTTTGTATAAAAAGATAATACTAGCACATTTAAATTAGCTAATTTAAAATGTCATTCAGAAAGATAATAATTAGTAGTTGTAGAAATCCTACCAAAAGGTTTTGCAATTAATAATAGCAAGTATATTCAAGGTTCTGTACATTTTATTATTTGTATAATATTTTATTTATTTATTTAACCAATGTATGTAATAACTGAACTTACATAGTGTACAACAACTAAACTTTTTGCTCTTAAAAGTCAGGTTGACTTCAATTCTGATAAAAGACCCAAATTTCTCATAGATATCATCATCATCATCCATCCCTTTCTTTATCACAATTATTTGGGGGCAGTCTATTATGTTTTTATTCATATTATGCAAGGTTTTGGCTTTTGATTTGCTCATAGATGTATTAAATTAAAAACATTTAAATTTAGAATCTGCAGTTGTTTTTCTGCAAGTAGATTTTGCTTTGATTAAACCTATATTTTCTCTATAAGGCAAAAAAACTGCCTCTTCAATCATCAATAAATTAATATGGGACTACTAGGGCGTTAATGTTATCATTTGCAAAAACAACTACTAATTAGTTTGCAATTGACAATGTTAAGCATATTTTATACATAACCCTAGTCATAGAAATAATACATGTGAATTGATGTTTTGAAAATTGCTTAAAATTAGTTTCTGAGCAAAGGTAAATTTGCAAAATAATAAGTATAATAATGATGACTAAATAGTTAATAATGTTTTTTACAGCTATGTCAGCATATCAGAAATTCTATGCATTGGAACAAGACAATTGGAAGGATCCTTTATTTTTGTATGGACTTGGTCTCTGCTATTACCATTACAATGCTTTTGAATGGTAAGTTTTGTTTTTGTTATATACTGCTTGTAGTTCTTGTAAAATATGTTTTGTGTTTATAGACTTAAGAGTATTCTTGCAATAAAACTGGTAATATCTGCAAGTCTTCCAAATAACATTTATAGATTTTTTTATTCAATGTAGCACTGAATTTGCCATCTAGTTTATTTGCGTTTAATCTTTGGAGATATTTTTATTACATACTCATACTTTTTATTAAAATTGGAATTTTTACCTTATTTATCATCATATGCTTGATGATTAAGTACATTGAAAATTTATTATAATACCAAGATATAAAAACAGTAATATTTTTTATGCAACTTAGAATGGCAAAGAAGCTAATGCCCAACTGATGGAATGTAGTAATTGTCGCCTATAGACATTATAAACTTCTGTGAAATATTTAGATATTAGTAAAAAAATCATCTAATGTTTTTTTATTCAAAGCAAAAATATCAAGAAATATGAAACCAATTAAATTTACTATAATAATGTAATTAATGTTATATGTTAATTATAGGTTTCTAAAGTTTTGATTGTATTAATTTTTTTTTTTTGCTATTTTGCTTTTTACGATTTTAAAAAATATTTCTACTTATTTTCATATGATTTTAAATATTATAACAATATTGTACTCAAAAAACTTAGTACATTTTACATAAAACAATATTTAAAGATTTGGAAATGTGTAAAATTATATTTTAATTATAACTTAGCCAGTAGTTATGGTATAAACATACATATAGACCATTTTAAAAGTGGAAAGTAGGGTACAACTAATGAAAAGTGACAATCATCATTTGTGATGTCCAGGAAACTACTAACATGTTGAAATTAATTTAATCCTCAAGAGTGTATGTAATGCATACATTACTATTTTATAGCTGTAGTAATAAATGGAAGTGTAAAACGTCCCAGAAAAGTAGTCTGTCAATTTTTAAATTCAAATTATTTTCATACTTTTTTTGACTGTTCTTACCACCATATTTATTTTATGCTGTCACATAGTATAATTAAGATGAATCTAAAGATACTTATTTATTTATCAAGTTTTTAACCTACTTATTGCGACAAAGATACGAATATGTATATCAGGGTATATGGTGAATAAATAAAATTGTTCGAATTTAAATATAATCGGGCTTTACTATTTTTTTTTTTTTTTGTAGTTTATCGTTATAAGTTGATGATAATTCAACTGGAAGATTAAATTATTGTAATTGTCGTGTTATCCGCTTTGACGTATCTTGCTCCTAGATGGCGCTGAAATATATATATGAAAATGTTATACGGCCGTATAACCCTACCAAATTCAGATACAACCTGCTTGCATACTTTCCACATAAACTGTGTCGAATATATAATCTAGTAATGTGAAATTTGTCATTGAATAATGATTGACATATCAAACATTTTCTATACACTAGCTACACTAACTACCTGCTATGAATTGAGAAAAATAGCAACCGATGGCGTATCTTTCGCCCTCTTTTTACTAATTATATTTGCATAAGAAGAAAGGAGGCAACCATATGATTTAAAGTTTTTTATTATTCATTCTATGTAATACCTTGTTCTTAGGTCTTGTTTAACCCATTGACATTGAAATTGATATATTATAGAGGTTTTTCGGCACGGATATTATTTTTACGGTATCCACTTTGTTATAATTTGCCACTAGATGGCGCTAAATAGACTAGTACATCGATTTTTCTATATAGTGTAAATTGGTGTACATAGAGAATATTTTCAAATTATCCATTTTGTTGTAACACGCTAAATAATGCTGCAATATATACTCGTAAATTTCTGTTTCGTTCGATCGATCGCAATTAAAATTGGTGTATGTTAATATCTGAAGTATAAAGAATATTTTTTGCTTGTCACGAATTCGCCATCGGATGGCGCTGCAAAACATGAACTTTTATACTGTCCAAGTAACTGGTAAAATTATAACTATAAAATATATAAATTAGATAAATATTAATATTGTTAAGAATAATAACTTAATAAATTTCGCCTGGCAATATTTAAAAAAATAAGAAAAAAGTTTTTGTCGGTAGTAGTTGGAGGTTTTCGAGAAATACATTGTTGTTTGTGTGTCGCTTTTAGTTTTTTCGACTTATATCGCGCGTATACATATTGCCACGAATATCGTAATAATTAATGTATATATCGCATTGTATCGTTTTTATTATACACAACATAAAACCAAGATGCTGATTAAGTGAAGGGTGCTACACTGCTGGTCGGTTCAAGGCGGTGGACAGGTAACCCGAATCTGAGGGTAAGTTCGATAGGACCAGAATTTCTAGGAAGTCTTAAGCCAGAGCCGAATCCTGCTATCTACAAAAAATCAGGTTAGTGGTTTCTACCTTCATTATCCTCTTGTGTTTATAATTTCCATACCATTTTCGCAATACATAATACAGTCAGCTAGCAATCGTTGTCGGAAGATTAATTTAATTTTCTTCTATATTATTTTACGAACGGTTAACAAATATAATTATAGTATTATTTATAATTTTTTTTATAGTTTTTATTTTTCCTATTTATATACATATTACCTATACACATAAAATAAGTAAATAAATAAACGTATCTAAGACAACATCTGCTAATCCTTCCTAATATTATAAATGTGAAAATGTTTATTTGATACTTTATAGCACTTTAACATTTTAACCAATCACTATGAAATTTGATATACACACACTATATAGGATGGAAAAGGATATAGGTTACTTTATATCTCGGTCACGCAGATGAAGTCTAAAAACTAGTATTTCATAAAATTAAGTGGGATCCTTTAATAGTAAAAAAATTAGATCCTAAGATCAGAAGCAAGAAATCTTTCATATTCAATTACTAGAGGGTTTTTGCACAAAGGTTGTCTGCAAGGGTACTTCTGCTGCTACTATGCAGTTGTGCTTGCATGATTGTGTTTCTGTTTGTAGAGTATATAACAATGAAATTATAGAATATGGAACTACGTAGGCATAACATCGTAATCTTTAGAAATGGCAACTCATGATGAGTACCATGGGCATAATTGTACTTTGTAATGTCTATATTCCTGTTCATGACTTTAGGCGACCGTTACCACTTTTCATCAGCAAGGCCGTTAACTTGTTTTCCCATTCTAAGTGTCATAAAAAAAGAAAACAAGTTTTGTAGATGTTTCACCTTTTATTACCTCCTGAGTGCAGTTACCTTTTGTTTCGGCACAAAAATAAAAAAAAATACTGAAGTATTACCTGCATTATGTTCAGAACCTCTCTGAAAAATTTTATTACATGAACTTAGGTATTTCAGCTTTGGAGTGATCAATCAGCGGTGGACCTTATGTTAAATAGTTCTAAAGCATACTATTGTATAAATAGTGGAACGGGAAGATCAAAGCAACCTCACCTCAATCTCAAAGGTTATCGCTTGTGAGCTTGGAATCTTCGATCATAGTTATTGAATTAAGTCAAAGTGTCCTAGTGAGAATCCTAGTTCTTCTACCCAAAAAAGTATTCAGTGTTGGCTGTGGGGCTGGACTTGTGTTATAATAAAGTCTTTATATAAAATGTTTGTGCAGGACGTCATGATATAATGCTGTCTTGTATTATAAAATACAAATTTAAGAGTTTTCTTGTTTGTGTATTTTATAATCCAAGCTAGCCACGGCACAACAAAAAAGCAAAAATGTCTTGCATGCCAAAAACTGTTTTCTTTAATGCTAGTTGGTCTATTTTCTTATCCGTTTGGAGCTTTGTCTTCTAAATGGCTTCAGAATTGGACATTAGAATGTCGATTCTAAGAAGCAAAATTTTTGGTTTTGGAGATTTTTTTTTTTATTTATACAACTTAGAATGGCAAACAAGCTGACAGTTCACCTGATGGAAAGTGGTAACCGTCGCCTATAGACATAAGCAGTACTATGGACATAACAGAGTATACTGTTTCGCCCATGATACCCCCCATGCGTTGCCATTCCTGAGGACTCAGGTGTTATTCCTCTGTACCCTGTAAATTTATGTAAGTTGTGGGACATGTTATGGAACCGTAACGTCATCAAGCCATATAAAATATATATTAGTTTCTGACTGCGTAATTTTCAACACTTCCTCAGTAAGGGGAGGAAGCGTGGGTAGCAGTCTGGGGTGCGTTGCTGCTGGCGTTGCCGCCATGCACTAAATAATGCACGGGTCATGGGGGGGGGGGTTGATCTTCATGACTGTGTTCTGATGTCGCGCTGTCACTGCGCGGTCTTCGCCTGTCGGGTGAAATCCCATGTTGGGAGGCTCAACAAATTGCCGGCGTTTGAGTGAGCTCGGCGATGTCAGAGCTCTCGCTAGGGTGATGTGGAGTCCGCTTGTTCGCGCGCGTATGGTTTCGCTTCTGGTGGACGCGCGTGTAGAAGCGTCAGGTCTCGAAGGTGACCCCATTCCAACGCATCCACGCGCACGAACATTTTGGTGACTAAATGTTGAGCATGTGCGTCCAACACTGGGATCTTAAGATCTCTCTCGAACGTGGCGTTCAATATATTAGCACCGGATGCAGGAGGTGAATGGCCACTCTGGCCTTGTTGCGTACCTTCTTGACGTGTGCTCTGAAGGTTAGTCGTCGGTCAATCTCCACCCCTAGGTAGGTGGCGGTTTGTGACCACTTGATTGGGGCGTCTTGCAGGCAAAGCTGGGGAGGCAGTCGTTGTTGGTTGAAGACGATCGCTTGTGTTTTGCGCACGTTCACTGACAGGTGCCATTTCTTAAACCACGGTGGAAGAAGGTCTAATAGTGTTTGTATCTTCTGCGCTGCATGCTTGGCGGACAGGAACAACGCGATATTAGTCGCATTGTCAGTATACAGCGCTATAACGATCTGTGGAGTCATGGGGATATCGTCAGTGAACTGCGCGTAGAGCATAGGTGATAGGCAGCTCCCTTGGAGGACGCCTGCACGGATTAGACGCTCACTTTAACAGGTTTGATCCACCACCACTACAAAGC